TGAGAATCATGGCCCAGCCAAGTTGACACACAATCTTAACCATTACACCATCCCAGCATCCACAAAATATTAACCCATTCCAGCATCTACTCTTAAGTCCAAAATCTCATCTTCTGAATCATCTAAATCAGATATGAATGAGATTCTGGGTACAGTCCATCCTGGGATAAAATTCCTCATCATCTGTGAACCAGTGAAACCTAGAATACAATTTATCTGCTTCCAAAGAGCAATGGTGGAAGAGGCATAGGGTAGACATTCTCGTTCCAAAATTCAGAAATTGGAGTGTGGAAAGAAGCCACAGGTTGGAAACTTAGCAGGGCAAATTTATTAGGTTGGGTTCTCTAGAGAAGAAAAGACAGTAACTCATATAGGTATATATTTAGAGAGATTTATATCAAAGAAATGGCTCTCACGGTTGTACAATCTGCAATGTTCCAAGTCCATGGATCAGGAAAGGGGATTCTCCCAATTCACATAGCCGCAGGTGCTGATGAACCCAAGATCGGCAGGTCAGAGAGCAGGGCTGTTTCTCACAAGTATATAGTCTTCTTTTCTCAACCCCATCTTTCAGATACTCATGGCCTATTCATGACACTTTCCTATTCTAAATCCTTATTAACTCATGCTTGGATTATTACAATACTCATGAATGATCTTCTTGCCTTAAGACTTTCCACCCCTACTCCCCAATCCATCTGTACACTATTTTCAGATACTTCTTTGAAAAATAATATATTTGATCAGGACTGTCTATAGTTTATATGACTCCTTTATAAAATTAGAAAAAGGTTTCCCTACCAACCTGACATAGTCCTCTGGTTAAAAGGCTTCACTAAAGAACTATGCCTTTTGTGAATTAGAAAATTACATAATTAAAGATCTTCCTCCAGGAAATGCTTAGGCGCACTGCTTGACTTAGATTTCAGCTGTTATGAATATCTCGGATAGTCACTCTTTTTTCACTGCAAAATCATATGCAGTGGCCCTGGTATTGTTTGTATCATCCCTTTATGTTAAACCTTTCTTGAGGCTTCATACCTTATAACACAATTATGATCATTTGCTTTTTGGTCTATATGAACAAGTTCAAAGCAACCTTCCATCCAAAAGGAAAAGATTGAGAAGCAATATAACTTCCCCGAGAGCCACTTAAAATCTTAGATCTTCAAACTATACCTACATCAGTAGTAAAACTAATGTTGTGGGGAGGAAATCATGGGACCTATACCAAATATGCCATCCAATATTTTAGTTTTAAAACCATTGCTTTTGCTACATTTAACGACGTTTTCAGACAAAAGTTTATTGAATGGCTTTCAGTGAATCGTTTTAATGGGACAAGTTAATGCCAAGATAATGAAATCCTGAAAGTTTGGCTTTGGAATTATTTCTACTCCTTTCTGAGCTCCTTTATTCATTTTTATGGGTTTTACTCCTCCTCCACCCATATCAACTGTTTCCCAAACAATACCTTCACAGTGTGGTAGTAAGGACTTAATATGTTAAAATTAACATTTTCAAAGGCAAGAGTATGGAGAGGACAATACTTAACCCAAAAGAAAGTCTCAAAAAGTAATTTAAGTCATCAAAATGGAAGATTTTGCTAAGCATAGTCTTTCTGGTGACTTCAAATCATTCAGTTTTTGGGACCAAATAATGTTTGCCCTGATGGCCAAGGAGGTTCCTATTTTTACCACACTATAACTCTTGAAACAGACAATATGGCAGAACATAGCAATTTGGTTTAATTACTTCAATATGGCTCGTGTCAAAAACCTAAATGCTTAGAGAAACATAAAAAATTAGTGTAACAGAATGTATTTATTGTGAGTAGATATGATTTGAATGAGACAGCATCAACCTAAATGTATAAGGAAGGTGCTCCAAAGAGGGGACAGTGAAAATGGGTTATATGGTTCATTGTCGCGTTGGTTTCTCAAGAGATAGCATAAGCACACATGCAGGGTTACTGGTGGTTGGAGAAACAGAGTCACTAAGGACATATCATACATTTTCCAGTCAGACCCTGAGTTTCCAGCTCTTGGAAACTGGCTGCACATTGATAATTTCGAAAAGAGCCCAATGCCTAAGGGAAAATGATCCCCACTAAGCTGCTTACTAGGCTATTGTTTGACTTGAAGATAACTACAGGAAAACTGTTCCTTAAAGCTCAAGGTTCAAAAGGACACTTAAAAGGATGGCCTAGGTGGATCACCGCAATTCCATAAACTCAAAAATCTGGATTCCAGGAGAATCAAAACAATTTTGTCACTTGGAAATATTTACCTCGTATAACCAAACCAAGAAAAAAAATAAAACCTGTTGTCGTCAAGTCAATTTCAACTCATAGTGACCCTATAGGACAGAGTAGAACTGCCCCATAGGGTTTCCAAGGAGAGTCTGGTGGATTTGAAAGGTCATTCCTCTTTGACTCACATACATGCATACACACAGAAAGAAAGAAAAAAGGGGGATGATAAAGGATGATGATAAAACAAGATGAGCATAGCAGAAAACTGTGTATTTTTGACATATTCTCATTCCATGGGAAAGACACATGACCTTTCATGTAATTAGATGGAAATAGCAGCCATTACATCCAGGGGATCTGTCAAACAGAAGAAAATTAATAGTAGACATTTTACTTTGATTTTAAGGTTTTCTTACCCACTGTCATGGATTGAACTGTGTCCCCCAAAAAGATCTGTCAACTTGGCTAGGCTATGACTCCCAGTATTGTGTGATTGTCCACCGTTTTGTCACCTGATATCATTTTCTTATGTGTTGTAAATCCTACCTTTAAGATGTTTATGAGGTGGGATTAGTGGCAGTTATGTTAATGAGGGAGGACTCAATCTACAAGATTAGGCTGTGTCTTAATCTCTTTTGAGGTATAAAAGAGAGAAGGGAGCAGAGAGATATGGGGACCTTATACTACCAAAAAACAAGAGCCAGGAAAATAGCGCGTCCTTTGGGCACAGAGTCCCTGAACTGAGGAGCTCCTCGACGGGGAAAGATTGATGACAAGGAACTTCCTCCAGAGCTAACAGAAAGAGAAGGCCTTCCCCTGGAGCTGGCACCCTGAATTCGGACTTCTAGCCTCCTAGACTGTGAGACAATAAATTTCTCTTTGTTAAAGCCATCCTCTTGTGGTATTTCTGTTATAGCAGCACTAGACGACTAAAACACCCACAAAACCAAATATTCCCTGTTAACAAATTCCTGACAAAAATTAATCATGCTAGCAGCTTTCCTTTCACCCAAGGTTTTAATCTTTTCTTTCTTGTTTGAAACCAGGTTTACTAAATTTGAGTTTCAAAACGTATGTCTGGTATGCCAGAGAGCACCTTGAGATCTTATATCAGTTGATCTCAATAAAAAGGGAGAGGGCAGGGTTCACTTAACGATGTTAAGATTAGCCAATAGTTCAAAAGTTGTGTGATATACATGTTTACAACAATGATAAAAAAAAAAGAGTAGCTCCTGAGGCTGCTTATATACAACCAAACATCTCATAGGATTTGTTTACTGAGTTTGGAGGTTTAGTACCATGGTTTCATGGAATATCCCAGTTAATTGGCCTAATAACATGTTTAGTGCTTCTGTTGTACCTCCTAGTTTGTTACATAGTTCTTAGTGACCATCCAAGGCACAAATGGTCTCTATTCACTTGGAGCAACAGAGGAAGAAGAGTCAGAAATAGGAGGAGCATACTGAATGTGTGACTAATTGCCTCCATGAACAACTGCCTCCTTTGCCATGAGACCAGAACTGGATAGTGCCCAGCTACCATTACTGAACATTTTGATCAGAGATTCTATAGAAGAATTCTGATCAAAAGGGGGAAAATGCAAAACAGAATTTAAAATTTTAATGGATAAACTTTAATTAGATAATCTTTAATTAAACCTTGTACCAAAAATATTCCCTGACATCTTCTTAAAACCAAACAATAGTTTAGCTTAACTAGTAAAAAATGTCTGCCTTGAGCATCTAGCTCTTTTAAGAACTAACTGTATGGCATTAAAGTGACAACAGCAGCTTGAAAGATTAGATAGAAACTTTACGGTGCAGTGAGTTTATGTTAATGGGAGAGGAACAACTCAGAAAAGGAGGACCAGAATGGTTGCATTACTCAAAGAATGTAATCAACGTCACTAAATTGTACATGTAGAAACTGTTGTATTAGGGTATGTTTTGCTGTGCATATTCTCAACAATAACAACAAAAGATTATCCAATGATTGGTCTTCTATGTTTCTCCCTTCTTTTCTCTTTATAAGCCTCATAGTACCTAGCTTACCTCTAGCCATTTGCTTTTTCTGAAATCATATAGAATAACTACTCAGAATAAATGTTAAGTTTCAATTTATTTGAGTTTTATTTTTCACAAATCTAATGATGTCTGGAAGTATAATATTTTCTGTGAGTCTAGCAAGCTAAAAATAGCCTCCTGGTGTCCTGAAAAAAGTACAAATGAATTCCCTCAAGAAGTAGATATCTTGCAAGACTATAAAGCAGGAAGAAATCATGGTAAGAAACAAAACACTATAGACAGACAATAAGGAATCAGTGTAAAAAGCAATATTTATTGCTCTGTGTTAAAAATGGTTAGTATCATAAATGCATTATAACTCATTTTTAAATGACAAAATAATCTAACAGTTATACTGAGTATTTGCATAACCCACACTTTAAACTTTCAGAATAGACTGAGAAAACTATGGTAATACGTGGCAGATTAAAGTCAGATACTCTGTTCCTGATTGAAGAAGTGTACAAATCATGGAAACTCTGAATTTATCAAAACCAAAGTTTGAATTTTTTTTGCCCACAATATTCTCTGAGGGGAATGAATGCTTTCCTAAATAACTGAGTGATGCTGGCAAACAGTTCTACCTCCCATTAGAGGTAAATGATTTTGTTTTTTTTTTTTTCTTTTTTCCTGTTTTGCTGAATAAACTACGTTACTTCCTCTCATGACCGAACTAGCCGGCAGTTCTCTACAGGATATCTGGGTAGAAAGGGTAAGGTTCTTGGCTTCCTCTTCATACACTGAAAACTTAAAAATCTCTGAACTGAAAACAACAGTGTAAATTTCTGCTGCTTCCATTGAAAATATTGCCCTGACTCTGCTAATATCTTACCTTTTGGGGGATGTATTGTTATGAAGAATGGAGACTCCAGTGAGGTAATATCTATTTATAAGTCATTAAAATATTCACTGAAACTGCTGCATGATTTGTGTAAGGAAATATGGCTGTCTAGATAGAAAGCTCCTTTTTGTACAATTTAATATGCCACTGACATAGACCACAAGTCCAGACTTATATTAAACACTGCTCCTGAGAATTTTACATTAAAATTAAGATTGTGGTTGATTAAGCACATTTCTGTTAGTGTGAGCCCGGGTGTGGGGTGGGGTGGGGCTTAAAATTTTAAATCCAGTGTTTATATCAACCAAATTAAGATGTACTCAAATGATAAGTACGTTTAAATCTCTAAATGACATCTTTTAAAAAGATGAGGCTTGACATTTTTCTTAGGATTGGAACATTTTTCATGTGTACATTATGGAGTGGGACATGAGGGCTTCAAATAACCTGAGAGGATTTTCATCAAGCCCTAGAAGTTAGCACAGCTGTCAAATCTCAGAGGAGCTGATTCTCAGTTTACAATGATCATTTATTTGGATGTATTTTTAATATGAGAGCATGGGAAACATTCTTGGAAGGGGCTCCAACTGTTGTGCTGTCTTTGTTAGAAGGGATGCCTTCCATTTTCCTTACTTGAAATAATAAAATAACAGTTGTTCTTTTTAAAGGTCTGCTAATTTCACACTTGTAGCTTGATTTTTAAGTATGTAAGCTTTTTCAGAGTATGTAAAGTTATATACCATCCTAACAAAGTTAGTGAAAGTCATACTAGGGTATCAGTGAAACTTACACATGCCACTACCTTCTCATAAAATGAGCAAATAAGTGTATTTTGTATATACTGGATTTTCCCAGTTAAAGAGTTGAAGATACTAAATTCCCTTTTAGTAAAAGATGCCTCAAGATTTTTATAATGAAATATCAGGATAAAGACTTTACTGTGTTACTAGCTTTTTTTTTTTTTCCAGAAACGAAATGTAACTAACAGCTGTAGTCAGCGTGAGCATGACTCACGGGATGGCACTATCTGCATATTATGGTTGCCAAGTCACAGCATAATGTTGGATATGGAAGGCAGTTCTCACTAATCTCTGACCACAAGTATAGGTGGGGTTTTTCCTCCATCTAAGTCGTTCCAAAGTGACTTGGACTTGGCTTAGTGTGTGAAACCTAGTCAGGCTCAGCAGCTGCAGGGACCTGGAAACTTCCAGAAGAGCTGAGGTCAGCAGTGCTCCTTGTACTGACTTTTCCTCCAAATTGCATTTTGGAGGGACTCTGACCAAAGGACCTCCTTAGCAGACTTTAAAGCTCTGGGTTGAGTTTTTCTTCCCTATCTGCTCCCCCTCCCCCACTCAGCAAGCAAGTTGGTTGAGGGGAAGGCAGGTTATTCAACCTGCCTTGGGGGAGAAATTAATTATCTCTGTATCCCTAGAAACAAAGTTTAGCCCAAGACTGGTGCTTAGTAGAGGCTAGGCTTTTGCAGAACTGTAGAGCCCTAGAGAAGGGAGAGGTTACTGTTGGCTAATTCTATGGGGAAGCCTTGATTTCTGCAACTGTGAATGTGGGTGTCCTAGAAGGCTGAGAAAGAAATTATTTACTAGAGCTCCAGACGTTTTTCCACTTGGTTAAAATTATTGCTCAAGATTTGGGAGTATTTCTTGCCTGTAGTTTCTAGGGATATTAAATGATAACATACCACTAGAATTAGACTTAAAAATTGGCAATTGCTTAAAATGGTATTATTTTGAGACTGGGAGAAGGTACTTCCAACTTGGTGTGTCTCCTAGCCTGCCTACATGTCTGCCTCCAGGCTGGAAATCCCTCTACTGTATTAATAATCTATTCCCAGTTCACTTACTACATCTCTAAATTCCCATTTCTTAGTATACAAATGTTCCTGGGAGTGGTGAATGATTAAGCTAATTACAATTCAGTGAATGAGTTCGTGATCTGGATTTATCAGCCAGCTGCTATCTTTTCTCCAAGGAAAGCTGACACTTCAGAAGGCACTAGGTGATTGAAAAGAAGATAATGGGAGAAAAAAGGGGGATTCTATGGGGTAATGAATGGAAAGGGAACTTTGCTGACTTCACACTTTTGCCTATTTATTAACCAAAAATGTATTTTAATGTATACGTTCCATACCTAGTCAACAAACTACTGCCCAGAGAGTGAGCAGAACCAACCACAGGGTCAGCTTTTCTTTGCTGGCTTACACTGGAGCAATGCTGCTGCATCTCTGTGAGCAAGTCAGAGAGTACAGAGTTGGCCTGGACTTACAATCCAACTTCCTAAGTGTCTTGCCTAAGAGCTGGCTCTGATGTGAGATTCAGTTCCATGGCTACAGAATGAACATATGTTTTTCCAGAGACACCTCTGAAGGATTTATAATTATACTTTCCAAAGTCGGAGAGAGAGACGTATGTCAAACAAAATCAAAGCAAAAACATATTTCTTTTTATGCCTTTATATTCCTCTATAGTCACACCTTCCTCACATTTCTAATGCCCTGGTCAACAAGTGTTATTTTCTCCAAATCTATACTTTTACCATTTTGAGAATGTTGTATAAACGGAAACAAACAGTATGGAAACTTTTTGAATTTTTTTTTTCCACTCAGTATAATGGCCTAGAGACCCATGCAAGTTATTGCCTATGTATCAATAGTTCTTTTTTTTAAATATATTTTATTGTACTTCAGGTGAAGGCATACAGAACAAATAGTTTCTCATGAA